AAAAAAAAAAAAAAAAAAATGAAGTAACTTGTTCATCAGCCTCACAGAACTGGATTCATATTTTTGGTAGGCACTTGAAAGCATTATCTCAATAAATCTTTAAAACAAATATTTGATGTGGCTTTTATTATTCTCACTAGAAATTAGTACACTTCATAGACATCTGATATCCCTTACAAATAATTAAAATTACAAATATGAAATCCAAGGGTACTAATATTTTAGAGGTTTCTATTACTAACAGAGAGTAGTATTTCAAAAAATCAACATATTTGCAACTACAAACCTTTTTCAAATATCTTGGTGTCTAGAAAGAGTTCCTGTTCAGAAGTTTGAGACTCTAAAGAAAAAGAAAAGCACATAATTTATATGTATATACAACAAATTATAACTCAAATGAAATGACTGCACTATATACATCAATCATACTACAGAGTTCTAAGTAAACAGACTTCATATGCAGAAGGAATAATTCATTAACAAAATTAAATGCAGCTAAACAGATTACCACTGTTAATGGGAATTCTGGTTAGTGCCATGTGCTTTGGAGTCAGATGTATCTGGATTCAAGTTCTCGTTCCACTACTTCTGGACTGCATAACCAAGGCAAGTCTAACATCCTATTTTCCAGATCAGAAATCTGAGGTACACAGTACCTCCGTCCCACCCCATAAGGCTGGCATGAAGACTGAATACGGCAGTGCACACAATGCACTAAGTACAATGCCTAGAGTATGCCAAGCACACACAACATTAACTACTGCTATTATCATTATTACACACTACTAGTCTGAGATCTATCTATCAGTTATTTTAAGCCAAATGATTTTCTATCCTAAGGTTCTATTATACACAGAATGCTGATGATTATACAATAGGTATTCTTATGTGAGGAACATGGCTTTGATTATAAAGATAAAATTGGAAAATAATCATGAAACCTTGATTTCTAAGTTTTTTTTGAAATCATAACTAAAAACTATTGAATACCAATACTTAGTTTTCCTTCATAAAAACAATAAGAGCTTTCAGAAGTACTAAAAAGTTTAATCAACCCCACAGACTTGGTTTGCACAGACAATAAAGGTTTTAGAAACACCGTGTCTTATACTTAAAATTACTTGAGTCACCTAAAAATGTATAAAATGTGTTTTTTCTTTCTTTACTTTTTTTTTTGGAGACGGAATTTCGCTCGTTACCCAGGCTGGAGTGCAATGGCGCGATCTCGGCTCACCGCAACCTCCGCCTCCTGGGTTCAGGCAATTCTCCTGCCTCAGCCTCCTGAGTAGCTGGGACTACAGGCACGCGCCACCATGCCCAGCTAATTTTTTGTAGTTTTAGTAGAGATGGGGTTTCACCATGTTGACCAGGATGGTCTCGATCTCTTGACCTCGTGATCCACCCGCCTCGGCCTCCCAAAGTGCTGGGATTACAGGCTTGAGCCACCGCGCCCGGCCTACTTTTAAAGATTATACCAACCTCCCTGAGATAGAGTCTTCTCCTTCTCTTCATCTTCTGCAATCATTTCTGCCATCTCAAGGAGATCAGCTTCAAATGGATGTGTAGGAAGCTTTTCCTTCATGTCTTCAGTACTCTCTGTGACTTTATCTTCACTATCCATTGAAGATGGAATAAGCATGGGGACAGGCATCTGAAAGACCAAGGATAGACTGAAGACTTTCTTAGGCAACAGGTTTCTGGTCAAAAGAATGATTTGTGAGATGATTTAGGTACAAAAATAGCAAACAAATTTAAGATGTATTCATTGCTGATGTTTAAACTAGTCTTGCTAGTTTGTTTTTATAAGACTAGAGCCATTTAAATAAAAATTCAATAAGCGCTCTGGACATTCAACAAAATATGTCTCTGAATCCATTCAATAAGTGCTCTGGACATTCAACAAAGTATGTCTCTGAATGCTCTAAAGGAATAATTCTATAATACACTTTCATTTTGTTTTTGTTTTTGCTTATATTTCTCACAATTTTCTCATAATTGTTTCCTTTAAGGACTCAGAACCTGGGAAAAATAAATCTGTAATTAAAAAACACATTTTCTTTAATCAAAAATGAGAATCATGTAAATCACAGTATTCTCTTCACCCTTGCTAGAATCCAGGATTTCAACATACACCATTTCCGATCTTTTTCTATTTAAGTGGTCTTACTGTGTATGTAACCTTTTTTTAAAAAAAACTACATCATAACCTTCTCTGAAAAGGAAAGATACAAATAAAAGTAGTCATTTATATAATCCATGTTAAGTAATAATGACAATATGATAACAGCCAATGAAAAGCAGGTATATTTTACCATCAAATGAAAACTTTCTGCACAGAACTATACAATTTTAATTGAGGAAAATGCATGCCAAGTTAGCTTTAATCTCTCAATGATTACTCACTGGAACTGGAATTCCAAATGGGACTGGAGCATATTGAGTGTAAAGATGGAGAGGTATGGGAACAAACACTGGTACGGGAACTGGCACCACAATGATTTGGGGCTGACTTGGCGTGTCTTCTAACAACAACAAAAATCACAAACAGCAAAGAGAGTTAGAAACATTTTAATACGATTTCAAAATAAAAAGGCTTATGGAGGTTTATAGTTCAAAACAAGAGTAACCTATGACACTGTAGGAGTTCTTATCAAGGAAAAATAACTAAATTAGAAAAAAAAAAAAGGCTTGAGTTAGCACTGACAAAAAGTGGGTAACATAATAAGTATCAGTGATACAAGGAGAAAAATGAATGTAGGATATAATATAGATTGATATAAATTAGATGGATATAATTTAGATGAAACAAAGATCCTAGAAGACAGGCATGGAAAACTACTTGCTAAAGAGAAGACTGAATATGGAGGGGGCCATTTCTCCCATGCTATAATGTACATTTTAAAATGATTTGTAGTAGATAGTGGGGAGCCACTGAAGATTTTTTTCAACACAAAGTAGTGATGAAAATAACATCAAAAAAGATTAATTTGGCAACAATTTCATCACTGAATAAAAATATATCAACTGTTAAAGTAGGAGGCAATTATAATATGCAGAGCTAAGATGATGGAAGACTACTCTAGGTTATGATATCTACAAAAAAGAATAAATATATACAGCAGATGTTTTAAGTATTAAAAGGATGAAATAGAACTTGAAAAAAAAAAACCTTAGAGAAAGTAATATGATGGAGGATTCATTCCATTATTTAACAAATACAGACAGTCCCCAAATTAACAATGGTTCAATACAGGATTATTCAACTTTATGATGGTGCAAAAACAAGTACATACCATACTTCCGTATAGCACTGAATAAATTACATGATATTCATAACTTTATTGTAAAATAAGCTATGGGTTAGATTATCTGCCCAACTGTAGGCTAATGTAAGTGTTCTGGGCATGTTTAAAATAGCCTAGGCTCAGCTATGATGTTTGAGAGTTTGGGTATATTAAATGCATTTTTGACTGTTGATTTTTTTAACATATGATGGGTACAACATTATAAGTTGAGGAGCATATGGAGTCCTTTCTATGTGTCAGAATATATGCTAGATAAATGTAAAAACATTAATCTAGGAGAAAGCTAATGCTAGGGACAGAAAGAGAAAAGCTAACAATTTGACTAGATGTATTACAAGTGGGAAAATAATACGGGATAAATTTTTTGTCTTTTGTTTTACATATGAGGGTTCTACTATGTTGCCCAGGCTGGTCTTGAACTCCTGGGTTCAGGTGATCCTTCTGCCTTGGCTGCCCAAAGTGCTGGGAGTACAGGCATGAAGCATCACACTTGGCCAATAAACTTTACATAATATAGTGGACATTAAAAAAATTGTTACTTGATTTAGAAATGTCTGATAACCAAACTACACAACACTAAATAAATTGCTATTGGAAAAAAAAAAAAAAAAAAAAAAGAACTAAATCATTTATAGCCTTGCTATTTGGTGTGATTCATGGACCAGAAGCACTGACTTATCTGGGAGCCTCTAAGAAGCGCAAAAACTCAGGCCCCACTGACTAAGAATCTAGTTATTCTGGATTCTTGAATAAAATTCCTGGATAATTCATGTGTATATTAATCTTTGAGAAGCACTGGCTGGAAGGATAGCCTTGCAGATCCAGAAATCAACAATTTCTTTCTAGTTTAAAAATTCTGAGACTTTAAAAAAAATTTTTAGTAGAGACGTTTTCACTATGTTGCCGGTGCTGGTCTTCAACTCTTGGGCTCAAGTGATCCTCCCACCACCTTAGCCTCCCAAACTACTGGGATTATAGGTGTGAGCCACCCACCAGCCAAAATTCTATGACTTTTAGATGGCAGCATGAGGAACTACAAAGATCTATTCCTTAATGAAACAAGCAAAGGGGGTGAAGACTATTTAAAAACAGCCATTTAAATTCTTGGGAAATTGTCCTAAAGGCATACACCAAATGAAGAAACATTTATTCAAGAAAATCTGTTAAAATTTGGTAAGAACAGTGAGAGTCTGTGACATTTCAGCTATCACAGGCTTTATCCTCCCAGCTCAACTCAGCTCAGCTTGACAGAAACTCCACTCTGGGTAACTGTGGCCAGTAAAAATAGACTTCTTTCCCCTCAACTGCAAATCAAGTGTTACCATATCTCATCAAGAAGGGTAGACCACAAGCATTTCTTATTCACTCCAACTGAAAGCTGAAGAGGCTAAATTCCTGATGAGTATGGCCAAGAGGTCAGGGGCTTCCCTTAACTCAGTTTCCATCCACTGGATGGAGGCTCTACCCTAGGAACAGCAGGTCAGGATCACTGGGATCCTGATCATCCTCAACCCAGCTCACTTGTAGGATGGAAGTTCCATGTCAGGAGGGGCAAGCCAAGAAGGCCAGAGACAACCACCCTGCCCAGCATCCACAGAGGCCTCAGAGATTCTGCCTAGAAGGAGGGGCAGTTCTTTTAAAAAAAAAAAAAAAAAAAAAAGAAAGCTCTTAAGCTCTCCTCAAAGGAACTGACTTCATTTGAAACAGTGTGAAGTAGCTAAAAACAGACTGTGGAGCTGTTCAAACCTAAGGTTACCCTGGAAAACAACAGTGCCTCCTACAAGCCTGTCCTATAATTCCAAACCTTATGCTTACTCTATAATATTACATTGCCATTAATAAGAGAATTAAATGACTTGTTCACAGTTTGGTATCACTGATTAACTTCCTCCTCTTTGACCCAACGTGTTAAGCCAGAGATGGGGAAAATACCTAACTCACAGGGATGCTGTGAGAACTAAATTGGGCAATGCATACAAGGAACCAACACGTCACCTAGGAAACAGCAGGTACTCAATGTAAATAGATTCTACATTTCTTTCCCTCAAAAAATTAAAAAAAGAAAGACCAAGGAACATACCTGTCTGGCATTCTTTGTTTTGCGTATGTGGTTTGCAAGAGGTGGCTTTAGTCTGCGTGATGGGTTTGCATAATAAAGCTTTGTTCTTCAAAAGCCTTGGAGGTTGGGAAGGTGGCAGTTTCAGGGCATCTGTTTGTGTACTTGCCTAGTAAAAAAAATAAATTAGAAACCAAAAAGATTTTTAAAAATCTTATCATAATTATAAGAAATATTGAAATTGTAAAATAAATACCATAATGGAATTACATGGAAGACATAGCAAAGTAAATATTCAACCAAATGTGTGAGAAATACAATATTCCTAAAATATTAATAGTAATCAAGGAATGTTTTAATGACTATATTACTTTGAATGTCTCTAATCACAATTTCTATCTACCAAGAAAAATGTCATTTCTATCGTAACACACTGTTGATCAATAACAATGTTGGCTAAGCTTAAAATGAGAATTCTTACTTCCTGATTAAGACATAGAGGACTTAGTTTCAAGGTAACTTGGAACAATACAATCACTTATGATCATTTAAGTAACTTGAATAAAGACAATGTGAAAGTTATCCCAGAAACCTGAAGAAACACTTTAAAAGTGCCACTGTTTCAATCATAAGTTTTTCTCATTATTTATTTTCTTCTTTTAAGAGACAAAGCAGAAAATATTAATGAGTTTAAAAAATAAAGAATTTTTTTTTTTTTTTTTGAGAGAGAGTCTCACACTCTGTTGCCAGGCTGGAGTGCAGTGGCGCAATCTCGGCTCACTGCAACCTCTGCCTTCTGGGTTCAAACAATTCCCTGCCTCAGTCTCCTGAGTAGTTGGGACTACAGGCGTGCGCCAGCATGCCAAGCTAATTTTTGTATTTTTAGTAGAGACGGGGTTTCACCACGTTGGCCAAAATGGTCTCAATCTCCTGGCCTCATGATCTGCCCACCTCAGTCTCCCAAAGTGCTGGGATTACAGGCATGAGACACTGTGACTGGCCAAGAAAGGAATTTTTTTGCAGTAAAATCTGTACTGGGTTGGGGGGAGGATAATCTACATTTTATAAATAATTTATTTATACTCTCAGTACATCACAAAATAACCAAAAGTCTTTCATGACTAAATCCTGTACAATTTACTTCAATTCTGTGTAATTTTAAAAAAACTTTCGGCAACTACATAGTCAGCATTCAAAGATATTAACATACATAAAAGACCTATTTAAGTAGCCAGAAAATCCTATTACTGAACAAAGATTAAATAAGCTAATGAAATCTATTTCACATAATAAAGGAAAATTAGCTCATATTTATAATGTATGAAAATGAAAAATAAATACAATGATAATACCAACGAAAGTAATAAAACTTACATCCCCAATGATTTTCGCTGTTACTGTTGGAACTGCACCTTGATAGAAATTAAAACATAAATTTAGGATCTTTACAATTATTTTAACATTAGCATTAAAAGATGATTATCAGCACATAAACACAAACCCTCATACTAAGAACATGTGATAATATAATTAATAAGACTAGTAATTCTAAAGCAAGAGATATGAAACGTGTACAGTGAGCCACCATTTCTAATATGAATGTGTCAAATATATGAAAATAATCCCTGATGAAAGGAAGATAGAGAACCACTATATCCAACTTAAATAGGCTAGATAAACTCTTTCCAATCAAGACATACCTTGTAAGACACTGTTAGAATTCACTGTGGGCTGAGCAGCAGGAGCACTTGCCAATGATACTACATTGGCTATAACTGGAGTTGAATCTTTTCTCAGAGATGGGGGTCCAACTGAAGCAGCTTGAACCATGGAAATACTTGCTGATTAAAATAAACAAAAATAAGAAAACCTTGTGTGATTTATATGTACTTACACAAAAACCATTTCAAGGAAGTTAAACAATGTTTTCAGGTTTGCGTAATTTCTGTTGGAGTAAAAAGTCACTTTAGGATTAACTGGGTTTTGGTTTTCCACTTTTTAATTAGTAAAACTTGAAAGTTTTCTATTTACTTATCTTTACATAAAATTGCAACAAATAGTCTAACTTAAAAACCAACAATGTATGCCCTAAGTGCATGCAACAGAAAAAAAAACAAAAACAAAAAACCAACAATGCAAATCCCCAAATAGTATCAATGAGGATCACAGGGTAGATTTAATGGATATTTGAGCCTAATGTTTTTCTTAAATCTTGCCTTTATATAGAAAGAATGCTTTTTTAAGTTTTGGAGTAGGCTCTTGAAGATTTTGCTTTTATTTGTAAGGAGATTATACTTAAATTCCTGTAGCTTTCAGGATGATACTAGTGTTGTTGGTTTTTAAATGATAAAGTTACACAATGTGTAGTCCTGATGAGATAAGTTCTGATAAACAAGCAACAAAGAGTGAGAACAATAAATAATTACTCTGAGAGATGATCTTCTACAGGTACCTTCAGGAGCATGGCCTCATTCTGCAAGTATGCCCCTCCAGCAGGCAGGACCTTATAAAACTTCCCTCAAGCCCCTGCCTCTCTGCAGACTTCTCCCCCTTCTCTGCTGTGCTGCTCACTGCAACCTTGCAACATATTTTCACACTTTCTCTAATAAATCTGCCTTTACCTACAACTGTTTTGGTAAATTCCTTTACAGCCCGTGACATTGGCCCCGGCTAGTCACACCCATGACATATAGTTTTATTTTAATTTAATTTTTTAGAGGCAGAGTCTCACTCTATCATCCAGGTGGGACTGCAGTGCTGTGGCCACAGCTCACTGCACCCTTAAACTCCTGGCCTTAAGGTGTCCTCCCACCTCAGCATTCCAAAGGCGGTGGGATTATAGGTATGAACCATCATACCTGGCCTGCATATGGTATATTTAAAAAGCCATGTGACTTCGACTTTATGTCTTTTGTTATAAGTAGCCTTAAAAAAATTTTTAAGTAAGCCAGTTATACTCAATTACAAACTATTAGCTGTTATCATTTCCCATAAACTTAAGTTCTTACAAAGTTCATGTGATTCAATATTCTCAAAGAAATCTATTTAATAAAAACCTCATTTTTACTCAGCTTTAATCTAAGGTGTTCAACAACAAAAAAAATCTAAATGTTAATGACATTGAATACAAGAAAACTGATGTTTCATGAAACTGCTGTTTACACAGTTCCAGATCCTAGTATTGATCAAAGACTCCATTCAGTACTTAAGTTTAATTTTACCTGCACTATTTTGTGAAGGTGGGTCACAAACACTTTGCTGATTACAGAACATCAAGATACAAAGCAGGTTACAGAAATGTTTCATTTCCCCTCGCCATTTCAAGGACTCACTGAGTTTACCCTGTCGCTTACAAGCATCACATTTGGCCATCTAAAAAAAAGAAGGCAGTCAAGGAGTAAGAAACAAATTATCTGTGGTCTGACAAAATAAAAATAGGACACGCACAATAAGTGAGGAAATTAACTTAGAATTTAGATCAAAAAATTAAAGTTTGACTACCAATGATTTTATACTAAATAATTGTTTTTAAAAAAACATGTAACATACAGACCTTACTCTACAGCAATTAAAAACGAAAGTGTGGTAAAAATAAGGTATATCTTCCTCCAAGACTGCAGAAGACAAATTCATTTCATTTAAATAATAAACGAATAAAATTATAAGTTTAAATATTTTAATGTCTTAAGAATGATATGCCTCCTACAGGAAATTAAAAGAAATAAAACTTGAATGACATTAGTGATATGCCTCCTACAGGAAATTAAAAGAAATAAAACTTGAATGACATTAGTCTTTCTAAATCTTATATTAATTGCTAAAGGGCATAAAACATTTAACACTTAAAAGTTTTAAATAATTAAGTTGTCCTTTATATGACATGAAATTTAAAAGGGGAATAATTTATGCCTTTGCTTGAAAAACCCTGGAATGTGATTTACCTGATAGAACAAAACTGTATATTTAGACATGCATTCTTCACAACAGAACTCTTCCACTTTTCCTCCTAAATTATTCTGTACCAATTTAGGAGATGTCTGTAAACAATAACTGCACATTTTACAGTGATTTCCCCAGCGTTTTGCCAAGTCATGTTTATAAAGCAATTTGCAACCTAAACATCAGGAAAGATAAAATCAACATTAGGTAGAAATATTAGTTTTCTGCATCTTTAAATGGCCTAGGACAGGCTGGGTGCAGTAGCTCACACCTGTAATCCCAACATTTTGGGAGGCTGGCGGGAGGACCGCTTCTCAAACAAAAACAAAAACAAAAACAAACAAAGAAAAACGGCCTAGGACAAAGTTGTCACACTTGGGTCCTGACAGGTTCACAGATCAAGAGATCAGTTTAGAGTATTTACACTAGATTTTTTTTTTTTAATGATTTAAGACAGGATAGGACAGAAGATAAAATATTAAACTGCATCAGTTTTGTTTCATGAAACTTTTGGGGTTGGGCACAGTGGCTCACCCTGTAATCCTAGCACTCCGGGAGGCCAACATGGGTGAATCACCTGAGGTCAGGAGTTCAAGGCCAGTTTGGCCAACATGGTGAAGCCCCGTGTCTACTAAAAATACAAAAATTAGCCAGGTGTGGTGGCAAGAGCCTATAATCCCAGCTACTCAGGAGTCTGAGGCAGGAGAATCCCTTGAACCCGGGAGGCAGAGGCTGCAGTGAGCCAAGATCACGCCATGGCACTCCAGCCTGTGTAACAGAGCAAGATTCTATCTCAAAAAACAGAAACAAAAAAACTTTTGTTTTATTTAGGTGTGTGAAAATATACTGGGTCACAGTATAAATGTATTTCTTCCTTTGTATTATCAAAAAGTTTGAAGGACCCTGCTCTAGAAGGCTAACTTAACACCACTTTAGAGTAAAAAAAAAAATTATAAACTTATAGAATAGTTATCTAAATAAGGAAAACAATCTTTCACATATTAATTTGCATAACTGAGCCACTTATATTCAGAAACATAATGGCTGTTTAAAACAAAAAATATATAAACTTAGGATGTTACCACAATTTAAGGCACTATATTTAGCAGTAAGTTCAAGAACTAGAAGACCCTTGAGGTCCCCATCAACTTAATAATGGGGAATCTAATGATGGTAAATGTTTTTCACATCAAATCTTTCACTTCATTTTAACAACTATGTAAGATAAAAAATAACTAGATCAAAAAGAATGAACTAAGTGTAAATGAATCAAAAAGGCATTTATATTATACATAAAGAATAAAACAGATTAACTTAGATAGTGAAGGATTAAATCATCAACTGCTTTTAAAACAATCAACATGCTCAGTATGTAAGATAATCCTTACCTTCACTACAGAATGACTTGTCAGCACCTGAGAACCGAACAGTCTCCTTTACAATTTTCTCAATTTTACAATATTCACACATTGCCATTACATTATTTATTTTCTTATATTCATCAGAACAATTCTTGCCACAGAACTGAAACATTTTGCCCTGCAAAGAAATAATCATTAAGCATGAATTAAACATCTGGTTTGTCTTATGGAACTCCTTATCTCCCTTACTTTCAAAATAAATGGTGTAATTTTGAGAGATGCAAAGTTAAAAATAATTTTACAAATACACTCATGTACACTCAAAATCTTACCATGAACATGCTATACTTTACCTTATAGTCAAGAAGTTCTGGTTTTGTGGCAAAAAGACGGTTACAGTGTTGACATTTGAGTTTCACAACACTTCGTGCAAACCCAACATGCTGGGACTGGGCAGCGAGACGCTGGAGACCAGCTGCAGCAGAGCTACTGATGGAGGTGGGGGAAACAGCAGAGGTGTTACCCGCTCCTGCTGACACTGTTGAACCAGTGGGGATGCTTACAATTACTTGGCCCTGAGACAAGGGCACTACAGAAGAATTCATTCCAGTTGGTTTGTTGAATAAATTCTGGAAAAACAAAACAACAAAAAAGATCAATTTAATCATTTGTTAAAACAAAGAAGTATCGTGTGCCTACATATGCCAAGCACAGTTCTAGGTATGTAAGGTACATCTGTTAACAGGCAATGTTCCTGCCTCTGAGCAGTTTATAACAGAATGGGGGAGTCTCATTTATGATGAAAAAATAAAATAATTTACCTAATAATCTTCCTCAAAAATAATATCCTCTCAATAAATAATCTGGATGATAAAAGTACCACTTAATGCTATAGAAGGCAGTTAAATGAAATTCTAAATACAGAATGAACTACAAATCCAAGTTTCATAGGAATGACATAGAAACGTACACAATCCAGGCCCTAGCAAACACCTAATAAACGTGCATTACTATAGTAAGTGATAGGTTTGAATTTGTGTCCCTGCCCAAATCTCATGTCCAATTGTAATCCGCGATGTTGGGGGAGGGGCCTGGCAGGAAGTCACTGATTCATAGGGGTGAATTTCTCCCCTGCTGTTTTCGTGATATTGAGTTCTCACAAAATCTGGTTGTTTAAAAGTATAGCACCTCCCCTTCCTCTCTGTTCCTCTTGATCGCGTCATGTAAGACATGCCTGCTTCCCCTTCACCTTCCGCCATACTTGAAAGTTTCCTGAGGCCTCTCCAACCATGCTCCCTGTACAGCCTGTAGAACTGTGAGCCAATTAAACCTCTTTTTTTATGAATTATCCAATCTAGCGTATTTCTTATAGCAGTGCAAGAACAGACTCATATAGTAGGTGACTCACTGACTGAAGAAGAGGAAGGTTCCTGAAGCCATACCTGGAAAGCTACCACACAGCTGTAGCTGCAGAAGTTGCGTATACTTCCATCTGACATGGCTAGGTGATACTGAGGAATTGCTGAGGTTTTACAACTGTTACACTGAACTTGTACACCTTAACAAATCAAAATAAAAACCAATGAGTAATATGTATAAATGTACACAAATGTATGAGAAATTAAATAAATATTATACAACATATGAAAATTCAAGGGCCAGGTTAAGTTGTAGGAACTGAAACTAATTCATGTCACATGTAGACAAAAAATAACCTAATACTGGGCCAGGCATGGTGGCTCATGCCTGTAATCCCAGCACCTTGGGGGGCCAAGGCAGGTGGATCACATGAGGTCACGAGTTCAAGACCAGCCTGATGAACATGGTGAAACCCCATCTCTACTAAAAATACAAAATTAGCCAGGCACGGTGGCACATGCCTATAATCCTGGCTACTAGGGAGGCAGAACTGCTTGAACCCAGGAGGCGGAGGTTGCAGTGGGCTGAGATTGTGCCATTGCACTCCAGCCTGGGCAATGAGAGCGAGACTCTGTCTCCACCCCCCAAAAAAAACACACAACTAACCAAATAATGAAAATTTTTCTTTTTAAATTACTCAAAGTCTACTGGGTGTGGATAAAGAAAATAAAGAAGCCATATGAAATTCTTTTGGTTAAATAGGCATGCAAGTAAATAAATAAGCAAGCAATAAAGATAACAGATGATATTTTATGATAAATATCTGAAATACGTGAAATTTGCCTTAAAAATCAACCAAAAAATACCATAAAAACAAAGCAATAATCATAATTTTTTGAACTATTACATTTCGTAGTTTATGAAACCAGTATTACCTGCAGAAGTAACCATTTTAACTCTGTAAGCAGATAAACAATTAACAGAACAGAAAAGCTCTGTCTTCCCCAAGCTATTGGTATTTTCAATCATTTCTGCTGAGGATCTCAATGACTTGCAAAGCGCACATGGTGTAATTTTGGCTGATTTCTATTAAGAGAATAAAACAACATTCATTTTTACCAAATTTCTAGTAAAAGTATAATTGTTTGAAATGTTTATACTCAACACTTTTGAATTATTTGAAATCAGTGATTTTCAATTTTTTTTTTTTTTTTGAGACAGAGTTTGGCTCTTGTCGCCCAGGTTGGAGTGCAGTGGCGCAATCTCAGCTCACTGCAACCTCTGCCTCCAGGGTTCAAGTGATTCTCCTGCCTCAGCTTCTCAAGTAGCTGGGATTACAGGTGCCTGCCACCACGCCTGGCTAATTTTTGTATTTTTAGTAGAGACGGGGTTTCTCCTAAACCCCGTTGGTCAGGCTGATCTTGAACTCCTGACCTCAGGTGATCCTCCTACCTCAGCCTCCCAAAGCGGTGGGATTACAGGGTGAGCCACTGTGCCCGGCCCATTTTCAAACTTTTATGATTGTAATCCTCAGTAAGAAGTTTTACAGAAAAGAAAGAAAGAAAGAAAGAAAGAAAGAAAGAAAGAAAGAAAGAAAGAAAGAAAGAAAGAAAGAAAGAAAGAAAGAAAGAAAGAGAGAGAGAGAGAGAGAGAGAAGGAAGGGAGGGAGGGAGGGAGGGAGAAGGAAGGAAGGAAGGAGGAAGAAGGAAGGAAGGAAGGAAGGAAAGGAGAAAGGAAGGAAGGAAGAAAGGAAGGAAGAAAAAAGGCCAAGTGTGGTGGCTCACACCTGTAATCCCAGCACTTTGGGAGGCTGAGGTGGGTGGACACCTGAGGTAAGGAGTTCGAGACCACCCTGACCAACAAGGTGAAATCCCATCTCTAAAAAAAAAAAAAAGAGAAGTTTTACAGTACACATGTACTTCTGAGAGTTTGCCTTTTTGTATTATGTATGTATATAATAAAACTGAAAACAGTTTTATGGAGGAATAAATGTCATGATAACATGTAATGCACTTTGATATTTTCCAATCTATTCTGTTTCATTAAAAAAGTAATGCAGCTGGGCACGGTGGCTCACTCTGTAATCCCAGCACTTGGGAGGCTGAGGTGGGTGGATGGCTGAGGTGGAGGTGGGTGGATCACCTGAGGTCAGGAGTTCAAGACCAGCCAGGCCAACATGGTGAAACTCCATCTCCACACAAATACAAAAAAATTTAGCCAGGCGTAGCGGTAGGCGCCTGTAATCCCAGCTACTCGGGAGGTTGAGGTGGGAGAACTGCTTGAACTCAGGAGGCAGAGGTTGCAGTGAGCTGAAATCACACCATTGCATTCCAGCCTGGGCGACAGAGAGAGACTCTGTCTAAAAAATAATAGTAATAATAATCCTGGTTATAACCTAGTAATTAATTTCAGGGTCTATTAATAGGTCATAACCATAGTTTTAAAAACATTAAACAATAACACAACAGCAAGTTCATGTTTTTATACTATATCATCCTAAAAATTGAAAGAATCCCCCTTAAAGGTGCTTATAAATATGAATTTAAGGAAATTAGTAAACTTATTAGAAAACTTACTGGCAAATATTCTACCACCAATTAAAAAAATAATAATCTGTAAGCATAAAGTCAGAGCAAACCTGGTATATCACGGGTATCTAAATACAAACAGAGTCTGTTATCTTAAGTCTTCACCCAATTAGGGATTCAGCAGCAAATAATGCTAAGTGTTATTAACATGTCACAAATTCAGGATAATTTATAAAGTATGTCCAGTACCACTTAGATTTTAAGAGCAATCTTCCTTCTTAAAGAATCAATTTGTGAAACTTGATATTAAAATAGGTACATAGTAAAGTTAACATATGCCTGAATTCTCTAATGTCTTCTAAATCTCTAGCCCCATTTCCCTTTCCTCCCTGATCAGGAATATAAAAGCAAACCTCATTTGTAAGACCCAGGTCAAGAGTTACCTCTGTGAAACTTTCCCTATCAAGTAGAGCTGACTATGTGACCTCTGTGGCCCAATGTACCCATAATACTTCCATCATAGCATCTCTGTTTACTCATTTATAGGTCTATCTTTCCTGGGAGACAGGCAGCCCCTCAAAACAGAAATTATAACTTTTATAATGTTTGTTGAATGAATTATACATACGGAAGAAAGGAAAGTAGCAGAAATGACCATTTACAATGCCCGAGTTACATACCAGGTACTTTTTCATTCTTACTTTCTATAATCCTAAAAACATCCCAGGAACATAGGTGGTATTATAGTAATTTACAGATAGGACTCAGGGACCTTAACTACTTTCCCCAAGGTAAAACTGTATTTGAACGTAAGGTCTGGAATTAAATCTAGATCTGCCTTACTTTCAAATTCCAGTGCTTTCTGTACCACAGCACATAAAACACATGAGAAATTTAATAGGTTTTGGCTAAAATAAAAGAATACATTTTTAAATTAAAATGTTTCATCCTATTTCTCCCTCTCTGGTGGACTATGACTCATCTTTCAATGGACTGAATTCAAGTAACTTTTAGTACCTGATACAATATCAGGAAAAGAACAGTCTTTTGGACAAAAATAAAACAATGAAGATGTGGGGATTTTTTTTTCCTTTGAGAACAGAAACAAGGAATAAATAGTAAAACAACACACAGTAGTGTGTTTTTACATTAACAAGAAATAAATTGAAAAATTGTATGTTCAAATTTCAAAATTACTACACAGTTTTAAGAACAATTAACAAGAAAGTTCCTAATCAACACTATTAAATTCACCAATTTTGGTGACTGCATGAAAATTCACTTTCTAAGACAAAGAATGATTAGCAAATGCACTTACATAGAGAGCCATTATAAAATTAAAAATATTAAAAGTACTTACCCCATAAATACATACACCTACGATGGACCCACAAAAATTAAAAATTAAAATTATATACATATATATATAAAGTATTTACTATTCCTTTAGGTTTATCAACTTTAAAACTAATACTTGATCAAAATTTACCAACAAAATACAATCTAATACAAAACTACATAGAGGGCATTTGTTATACAGAGTTCATCCAGTTCATCCCAAGCACACCTCATCAATTCATAAATACATAATCCCACACCTATTTTGTCCTATTTCATAAACATAAGAAAAATCCTTTGCTGTAACAATTAGTGATAGAATTTTGATTTTCCGGTTTGCAATTTTAATTCTGTGAATCAGATTTCAAGAATACATATGCAACTTGAACCTTTCCTTGTCAAATAAGTATATATGCAAATCTCACATGCTGGAAAGATTAGAAGGCTACACAACAAATTGTTAGGATTGGTTAATTGGTTATGAGAGATACACTATACTTCTTTGTGTGTTTTTTTTTTTACACTTTCAAAATATTGTTCAAGAATAAAAATCACTTTTGAAATAAAAAAGCCATAGTGGCTGGACACAGTGGCTCACATCTGTAATCCCAGCACTGGGACTGGAAAGCAGAGGCAGGTGGATCACTTGAGGTCAGGAGTTCGAGACAAGCCTGGCCAATATGGTGAAACCCCATCTCTACTAAAAATACAAAAAAAATTAGCCGGGCATGGTGGCGGGCACCTGTAATCCCAGCTACTCAGGAGGCTGAGGCAAGAGAATCACTTGAACCCAGCAGGCAGAGGTTGCAAGTGAGCCGAGATCACACCACTGCACTCCTGTGAAACTTCACCTCAAACTTAAGATAAGTATGGTTTAGTTCTTTTTTTTTTTTAAGACGGGGTTTCACCATATTGGTCAGGCTGGTCTTGAATTCCCAACCTCAGGTGNAAAAAAAAAAAAAAAAGCCATACCCTAAAAACATGTATTTCAAATGCATAAACATGCATAAACAAATGAACAAAACTCTACCTGTAGAACTCCGTAAGAATATTTAACGCACATTTATTCAACAAATACTATTTGTATAAAGAATACCAGTTAAGTAAATAGTAATGAGAGAGAGAGAGAGAGAGACAGGCAGAGAGAGAGAGATGATTAGCAAAATGCACTTACATAGAGAGCCATTATAAAATTAAAAATATTAATTAAAAAAAATTTTTTTGAGACAGAGTTTTGCTCTTGTTGCCCAGGCTGGAGTGCAATGGCATGATCTCGGCTCACTGCAATCTCCACCTCCCAGGTTCAAGTGATTCTCCTGCCTCAGCCTTCTGAGTAGCTGAGATTACAGGCATGCACCACAATGCCCAGCTAACTTTTGCATTTTTAGTAGAGATGGGGTTTCACCGTGTTAGCCAAGCTGGTCTCAAACACCCGCCTAAGCTTCCCAAAGTGCTAGGATTACAGGCATAAGGCACCGCGCCTGCCCAGTAAGTTCAATATTTTAAAACATTTTCATAAATAATTTCCACTAAAAATACAGATACCTGAAATGAACAAAGACATCAAGATTAAATATGGTCACGTACCTGCTTGTATGCTGTGATACATGTTGAACTACAAAACTTCTTAGACTGTCCCTCTATCTGAAGCATGTGGCATTGTCCTGAGCCACTATAACAGTAACCCCCACAGTTCTCACAGCAGTTCATGGTAAGGTTGTTAGCAGAACGAAACTTAGAGAAGCAGGCATCACTGCAAAGTTTATGGACCACATTCTGGTAATTAACTTCATGTCGAATCTAGAAATTAAAAAACAGCAACATACAAACAAGGAGCAGAGACCCATCAAAAGCTGTTCTTTAAGCACAAAGATATTAGAGTTCTCCCCCAATAAAGGAAAGTGGTAACTTACAACAGCATTCTTCTGACACATGCTGCATTTGGTTGATATACTATTTGTATTTATGGTAACAATAGGTTTTTTTTTCAGTTCGTATGTTGACAAACATGACTGACTGCAAAAATCTTTACTAGTGGTGGTATTTTCAAACTGGGCACTGATCACATCCTTTGGATTTAAAATGTCTCTAAAAATAAGAAAAAAAATAACATAAGCCAAAGTATAATTCATTTGTTTTTCCTTTCTGTGAGCTAAAATAACCAAATAAAATAGATGCAATTATAGTGTAGGGAGATAGCATTGGAATTTAAGTTTAAAAACTTGAATTTTCTGGGAGACACTTAAAAACTGCTTTGATCCTTAAATTCTTTTCTATGAAATGGAATTAATACAGCACCTACTTCATAGAACTGTTGTGAGAATTAGTATGTTTCAAAGACTAAAGGAAAACATCTAATGATTAGCATTCATTACCACTACAGGAGAGATTATGAGATTTTTTACTTTCTAGAATTATCTATATTTTAAAAATATTTTTTAAAAAATACTGTATTACATTTCACATTGTTAAGAATTTGATTTGTTTTGTTTTGTTTTGTTTTGTTTTAAGATGAAGTTTCACTCTTGTTGCCCAGGCTGGTGTGCAATGGCACAATCTGGGCTCACCGCAACCTCTGCCTCCTGGGTTCAAGCAATTCTCCTGCTTCAGCCTCCCAAGTAGCTTGGATTACAGGCATGAGCCACCATGCCTGGCTAATTGGCTCACGCCTGTAACCTCAGCAACACGTTGGGAGACTGAAGCGGGCAGATCACAAGTCGGGAGTTCAAGACCAGCCTGACCAACAAGGAGAAACCCCATCTCTACTAAAAATTAGTATCTTTTAAAAGTAAACATATATTTTACACTACACAGTGCATATTCTAGCACAGTTATATAAAATATAACATTACCATATCTAAATAATCTAATTTCTAAGCATTAGTAGCAAAGGCAATGAAGATTAAAACCCTAATATGTCCTTACCACTCCAACCCTAATCCCACCAAACCACTCTTTCTATAGTAATTTATCAGATTGTTTAAGTGGAAACCATATTGAAAACCAATTTTTCAAACGTGAAATATTCTAATCAATGTCTCTCTCCCATGAGTATATATCCACATAAGTTAATAAGCTTGTATACTCATGCTTCTATCTTAAAGAGATTACACTAATAGGATACTTTTAAAGACTATAGGCAGACTTTGTTTCATTGTGCTTCACAGATACTGCACTTTTTAGTAAATAGAAGGTTTGTAGCAACCCTGCCTCACACAAGTCTATCAATGCTATTTTTCAACAGCATTTGCCCACTTCATGTCTCTGCATTATATTTTGGTAATTCTCTCAGTATTTCAAATGTTTTTGTCATTATAATATCTGTTGTGGTGATCTGTGATCAGTGGTCACTGATGTTACTATTGTAATTGTGTGGGGAATAACCATGAAACCATGCCAACATTAAGACAGTAAACTTAATTGAAAAATGTGTATGTTCTGACTGCTCCATTGACCAGCCACTTCTGCATCTCTCTCACTCCTTGGGCCTCCCTATTTCCTGAGGCATGACAATATTGAAAGCAGGCCAATTAATAACCTCACAATGGCCTCTAAGTGTTTAACAAAAGGAAGAGTTGCACATCTCTCACTGTAAATCCAAAGCTAGAATAATTATGCTTAGTGAGGAAGGCATGTGGAAAGCTAGGCCTCTTGTGCCAAACACTTAGCCACATGGTAAACGCAAAGTTCTTGAAAGACTAAAAAGGCTACTGCAGTGAACACATGAATGATAAGAAAGTACAACAGTCAGCCGGGCGCGGTGGCTCACGCCTGTAATCCCAACACTTTGGGAGGCCAAGGCAGGTGGATCATGAGGTCAGGAGTTTGAGACCAGCCTGGCCAATACGGTGAGACCCCCATCTGTACTAAAAAATGCAAAAATTACCCAGGCATGGTGGTGCATGCCTGTAGTCCCAGCTACTCAGAGGCTGAGACAGGAGAATTGCTTGAACTTGGGAGGCAGAGGTTGCAGTGAGCCGAGATCACACCGCTATACTCCAGTTTGGGTGACAGAGCAAGACTCAATCTCAAAAAANAAAAAAAAAAAAAAAAAAAAAAAAAAAAAAAAAAAAAAAAAAAAAAAAAAAAGTGCAACAGTCTTACTGCTGATGTGAAGAAAAGTCATAGTGGTCTAGAGAGACAATCAAATCAGCCACAACATTCCCTTAAGCCAAAGCCTAATCCAGAGCAAGGCCCTAACTCTCTGAAATTCTAGGAAGACTGAGGCAATGAAGTTACAGAAGTTAATTTAGATTTAGCAGAGGTTAGCTCATACGGTTTAACGAAAAAAGCCATCTCTAGAACATCAAAGTACAAGGCGAAGCAGCAAGTGCTGATGGAGAAGCTGTAGTTAAGTTATCAAGAATATCTCCTAAGATAACTGATGATGGTGGCTACACTAAATAAGATTTTCAGTGTAGAAGAAATGGTCTTCTATTGAAAGATGATGGCATCTAGGACTTTAATAGCCAGTGAGAAGTCAATCCTTGGCTTTAAGGTTTCAAAGCTTCAAAGGACAGGCTGACTCTCCAACAAGACTCGCTAATGTAGCTGGTGACTTCAGGTTGAAGCCAAGTCATTTACCTTTCAAAAATCCTAAGACACTTAAGAAAAAAGATTCCTTTCAAAATATTACTGCCATTGACAACACATCTAGTCACTGAAGAGTTCTGATGGAAATGTACAAGAGGTTAATGTTATTTTCATACCTCCTTACACAGTATCTATTCTGCAGCCCGTGGATCAAGGGGTAACTTCACCTTTTGCATCTTATTATTTAAGAAGTACATTTCCTAAGGCTATAGCTGGCATAGTGATGCCTATGAAGGATGTGGCCACAGGAAATTAAAAAGCTTCTGGAAGGCCAGGTATGGTGGCTCATGCCTGTAATCCTAGCACTTTGGGAGGCCGAGGAGGGCAGATCACCTGAGGTCGGGAGTTCAAGACCAGCCTGACCAGTATGGAGAAACCCCATCTCTACTAAAAATACAAAATTAGCCAGGTGTGGTGGTGCATGCCTGTAATCCCAGATGCTTGGGAGGCTGAGGGAGAACTGCTTGAACCAGGGAGGTGGAGGTTGCAATGAGCCAAGATTGTGTCATTGCAGTCCAGCCTGGGCAGCAAGAGTGAAACTCCATCTCAAAAAAATAAAATAAATAAAAACCTTCTGGAAAAGATTCACCATTCCAGATGTCATTAAGAACATTCATGATTAATGAGAAGAAATCCAAATATCAACTTTAATAGGAGCTTGGAAGTAAGTAACTTCAATCCTTACAGATAACTCTGAGGAGTATGAGACTTCAGTGGATGAAATTACCTAAAAATGTGGGAGAAATAGTACGAGAACTAGAAGTGGAGCCTGAAGATGCAAATGAATTGCTGCAATCTCATAAAACTTGAACAGATGAGGAGTTGCTTCCAATTGGATGAGCAAGGAAAGTAATTTCTTATCATGGAATTTATTCCTGGTGCAGATGCTGTAAATTTTGGTGAAATGACACGAAAGGATTTAAAGTATTACATAAACTTAGTTGATAAAGCAATGGTAGAGTTTGAGTACTGACTCCAATTTGGAACGTTCTTCCCTGGGTAAAATGCTATCAAACATTATTGCATACTACAGAGAAATCTTTTGCGAAAGGAAGTCAACTGATGTGACAAACTTCATTGTTATCTTAAGAAATTGCCACAGCCACCAAAACCTTCAGCAACCACCACCCTGAATTCATCAGCAGCCATCAACATCGAAACAAGACTTTGACTAGTAATAAGATTATGACTTGCTGAAGGCTCACGATTGTTAGCAATAAAGTATTTTTAATTAAAAAATGTACATTGTTTTTTAAAGATGTAATGCTATTGCATACTTAACAGACTACAGTATAAACACAACTTTGATAGGCCCTGGGAAGCCAAAAAATTAATATCACTCATTTTGAGATTAATAGCTTTATTGAGCATTTGCTTCATTGAGGTGGTCTGGAACCAAACCCTGAATATCTCTACAGTATAACTATACAAATCTCTCTGCTTCAGTAAAATAGTAGATATAATGGGAAATCATTATTAGGAGCACCTAATACTGTACTATGCCGTAATACACTCCATACCTTGCCATCCTCCCTACTTAGCAACTCTGCTTTGCTTTTTGCATTTACAGTTATTTTTAAAATTAGGTTTTATATTTCATAGAGGGTTATTTAGTGAGAAGTTATATTGAGCTAGACATTAACTAAACCCTCAGTCAAAACATGGTCCACAAACTTGACTGGGCCAGGCACAGTGGCTTACGCCTATAATCTCAGCACGTTGGGAGGCGGAGGCGGGTAGATCACTCGGTCAGGAGTTCGAGATCAGCCTGGACAAGGTAGTGAAACTCCATCTCTACTATGAATACAAAAATTAGCCAGGCGTGGTGGCACACGACTGTAGTCCCAGCTACTTAGGAGGCTGAGGCAAAAGAATTGCTTGAATCTGGGAGGCAAAAGTTGCAGTGAATCAAGATTGCACCATTGCACTCCAGCATGGGCAACAGAGCAAGACTCCATCTCAAAAAAAAAAAAAAAAAAACTGTGGTCCATGTATGTACTTAAGGAGCTCAGAGTTATTGTGACAAATAGACAATTTATAAAATACTGTAACAGAAGCTCCTTAAAATTAATAGTATAACTTTTGAAAAAGACATGAATAATGTACCATAAAAATATAAATTAAGAAACAATTATTTCAGACTATAATTAACGTGAAAGGCTCCCCAAGGGGTGATATTTTAGCTGGACCTTAAATAGGAGTTTTCTAGGAGGTTAAGGAGGTAAGAATTGGGAGCAGCATAGATCAAGGAAATGGAAGTATAAAATTAGGTATTTTTCACTGCTCTCACTATGCTCAGAGTCCAATTAGATTCCATCTTATTATGGTACTGGATTATATATTATGACAGAATGAGAAGAAACAAACTCATTCCAGTTAGTGAAAATTCAGAAATGGTACAGACAATCTGGATGTTACTTCTTTGAATATCATTATACCAAGAATCTGATCTTACTAACCGTATTAACAAAATTATCCTCCAAATTACCTCTTTT